CTTGGCTCCTAAGTCGAACAAGACTTAAAGTAGCCCACAACCCAATACAATTTGTGGAGTATATGGATGGAAGCACTAGCACAACAAAACCAGCAGTTTTGTTCGTTCTTCCGCTTGCTGAACAAGTTTAGAGTGATTGAGTTGTGTCCATGTCTTGAAGTTGTCATTCCAGGTTCTTCTTTGCCCCTCTCTTCTTTGACGGGTGTGATGCTGACCATATCATCAACCAAATGCTTACTCGTCAATACAATATAGGTCTCGTCCCCTATGCCCAATCAGCCGGAAGGCGTGGGCAATTGTTCTTTACTTTTTGTTCTTCTTTATGTCCTAATTTACCGCTTTGGATGTTAAGTGAAATATGAGGTCCTCTTTCAAGCTCTTCTGGCTGCTTCGACCATAGACACATAATGGTGCTGTAGAGTTTCTCTGATGTTATCTTCCCATATTGTTCTTGGTCTACCTCTTGCTCCACGTCCTTCTCCTTTTTTAAGTAATGCCATGTATGGTATATCATCAAAAAGCATTCTCTCCAAGTAGGCAAACCATTTGATTTGCTGTCTTTAAATGTAGTTTAGAATTGTTTCTGTACCGACTTAATCTCGAATGACCTCATTCCTGATTTAATTCTTCTGGTCACTCTACGTTATTTCTCAGACACCCCATTTCCATGGTTACTAATTTTATTTTATCTTATTTTGTGGGCGACCATGTCTGACACTGGTAGCATAGAGTGGAAATTAATACGCTTGGTATGAGATGTTTCTTTGCGATGATTGGCATTGACTTATGCTGTAAGAGGGAGAGGCGGTGAGGGGAGTGGGGGGTCTAGGTGTCTAAATACTTGACCTGCTTTACTGCATCATATATTAATTTCTTTGTCCAGTTTACCATCTTCAGTGAAGGAAGCATATAAGCCTCGTCAGATTCAGTAAATTTGTGTGATTCCATGATTGCCTTCATCGATATAACCACAACGTTCCGTTGTATCCGTTTTTTGTGAGATATTTAACAAGATATTTAAACTCTTTTCTTACTTAAAGTTCTTTACATACTTGTATCATATGTTATTTTTGTTCAACTCTTCTGGACCTAACAATTTGCCAGAAAACTTAACCCGCATAGGATAGTTGGCTTAATGCATTAAATTTGCAATGAACCGAGCCGTTATGATCACTTTTCTCAAGGAGGCAGGACGAGTAGATGATCCAGGAGACGACGGTGAGTTGCCCACATTAAAGAAAAAAACTGCAAGAACTTTAGGCCAAAAGAGGTGTCCCATAATATCACACTAAACATGCAGCCAAAGAAGAATAGTAAACCAACACAGAAATGAGTTATTTGTCACCACACGCTGAGGATATACTGAAGATGGGATTCGAGCGTTTACAGATTATCCGATCTGCAGAAAAAAAAAATTAATTAACTTACTAACAACTAGGGATATAAATATGGGTCCAACCCTTAATGCCCAATACATGTGAAGTTGCGATCAAAAAAAAAAAAAGATCCTTTTTTTTTAACTTGCTAACAAAATGTTGTAACTTATTGGAATTAAAAGAGTTAAGTATTGTTGTAAAAGACTGTCCTTGAATATTTGGCATAAATAAAACTAAATCCTCCACGTCCACCTTCAGCTTACAAATCGGCACTCTGGTCATAGTGTGGTAAACATAACCCCAACCACCTTCACTTTCCAGCCTTTTTCCCACAATCCTATGATAGACTTGGTCTACACTGGAATGTACCTTACAAACCCACCATCTGAAGTGAAGTTTCAATCACAAAAACTGGACTTATTTTTGAATTTTGCGTGTCCTGTATGTAAATATTTCCACACATAATTTTCTAAATTATAAATGAACTTATGAAAATGAAGATAAAACATAACTGTGATAAAAATCGTCAAAGCTAACACTTAAATAGTAGCATCAACATCAATAAAACATTTGGGGCGGGAGAGGGGGCCTCATGCCTCCGCACCTTTCCAGTTTTCTAGACATGCAAATGGGAAACTTTAGCTTAATCCTAGTTTAGCACCATACTGATAATAATAATGAGCTGAACAGCAAGAAAATATAATAATAATACATTATGAATAGTTAGAAATGCGTTGACAATACTGTAAAGATAACTTTTGTTTATAGAAATAAAGGGGAGGAGCGGGAGAGGGGGTTGTGACGTAGGTCCCAGCGACTGTGCACTAAATATACAAAAAACACATAACCGGCACGCTTAATTTATACCGAAAACTTCCTTACAAGCACGTATGCGTGTCTGAAGTCTGAGAATTCACTTGAAGGGTCCTAAAGTAGAGACTGTGTATTTGGAGATTCTATAATGAATATTGGTTCTGTTACAATCTATGAGTTCTCTTAGCATTACGTCGTCGAACATATTCTCATCTGGTGGGCGCGTCAATGCTAGTTCACAGATCTGATTTTTCAGTTAAAAAAAAAAGTAAGTAAGTATAGGTAGAAAGATAATGTTTCACTATGTTTTAATTTTTTAATTTTTTTATTTCTGGAAAACGTTCTCTATTCAATGTTGTCCGTGTATCTAAATATTAAAATGTTGTTTCTTTCTTTTTATTTTGTTTTAAATAAATGTCCTTTTTCTCTTCAAATTTGTGGGTACATAACTCTGTCACTAGCAAGTCATATTCGACGTCTCATGAAGAAAGGGAAACCATCAAACTCAAAGATGCGTACACTCCGTCCATCGGGGGCTGCGTTAGCGCAGTCGATATGAGATTCGATTTCAAATCCAGCTGCGATTTGTTGCAGCCCACGGCTGGTGTTTGAAACCGGGCGGTTCCCGGGGTTCACCCAGCCTCTAGGAAATGGGTACCAGAGTTAATACTCTATGGTAAATGGAGGAACGTCGCTGTAACTATGGAACTGCATGCGGACGGCGACACAGGCGGACAGTTTCTTATCAGTTGTCCGTGCCGGTGGCAGAGCACTTATGGTTTATAACCATGTGAAGAGACGCTGGTTCACATCTCCCGACTTTTTTTTTTTTTTTTACACCTTTATCCTGAAGGGCGAATGCAGGAAAAATAAGAAGATACGTGGTTGTAGTGAGTTTCAAAACTCGTGGCCTTATACTTTAACAAATATCTCGAAATCTCCCATACGGATCAACACGAATTGTTGCCTTATATTTCCCAAGTCTTTTAGAATTTCTAATTTATAGCTTCATAGGTGCTGCTGTATTTTTTTTTTTAAGTGGAGAATTTGTGTGAACACTACGCGACTAATCATTTCTGTACTCCTCAAAAATAAAATATATAATAATTGACATACTTGTGGAGATCACTTGGAAATCAACTCACATATAGAGCCTTGCATGATTATTTTGATAGCCTACCGGATACAATGAAAATTCTGCTACTAACTGAAGACTAAAGCTGGAATGACCACATGAGAGTGGAACCCCTATGAAGCGCATGCAGTTTGACGTTTTGAAATCTTGACGTAACTCAGTAAACTGTAAGCATGCCGACTGTGTGCTTTGAATCGTTGTCTGATTACAAATACAGCAAAATGAAATATAAGACGTTTGTTTACATTTAAAAAAAAACACACACACACACAACTCTTACAGGACATGACTAGTAACAGGCTGAATCCCAAATTTCAGCTTACACCGAACGTTAACTGTGTTGCAGATTTTTAAAATTAAGCAGAAGTTGTGAAACATACTATAAATGCATAAATGCAGACATTCACAGTATCGTATTTAGACGAATAAGGATTGAAAAAAAAAACTATGAGCACTTACGCATAGTCACACACATATATATGCATCCCTTTCAGCTTTCTGTTAGCAATTAACATATATTTGCATAGCTAGATATAAGTAATCGCAACAAATTCGCCACTTCAAAGGCACCAGCACCTGTGGAGTTCAGGCGCCCAAGCGCTCCCCTCCTGTGCCAACTGGTTTAAAAATAACATGCAACGGAACACATTGTGCCCCACCCAATCCAAAAGGTATGCACATCCCGTTTGTGAGCATTTGTTTACTCGCTTTCTATCATCAGTTCAAAAATATTGTTATATTAATTTTACATTCGCCACACAATAATATTATTAATATAACCACACTGACGATGACATGGGATGTAGGAGGAATAGAGAAACCATCACCTTCCTGCCTCAACAATTATGACGAGCTGAGTTCCTCAACTCCTCCCCACCCCCACCCCCCTCCCCCTAACATTACCCCCTCCCCCAAACCACCCTAAAAGATATGTGATCACATGACACCATTACAAAAATTCAGCTTTTCTTCACACAACGATCGATTCAATCCAATCATCCTTTACAATCATCTGGAATTATTCCTAGTGTAACACATTGACATACAGTTTATGCCGAGTGCTCCACTGTTGCGTCATGAGCATTTTTAATCATATTACAATATCACATTGCTATTATCGCACACACATTTGCGTTTGGAAGTGTCATGAATAATATACCTGCTATTGCTGTTGATGTCATTATATGTCAGTGTGCCTAGTACCGGTATTACGTCTAACTGGTCTGTTTTAAAATTCACCTTACACACACGCCTGCTGCTAAATTCCTTTACAGCCGTAATGGGGTGATATTCTGTGAATGCTGCTATATGATCTTTGCTTGTCATTATCTTCCATATGGATGACGTATGAAGTAGTAAGCGCAAAATAAACTGTGCCTAAAAAACCCAAATGGAGGGAATGGAATAAACGCGTGGCGAACGTTTCGAGCAAAGTCATTTTCAACGAATAACTGAAAACAACAAACATACGTGACTGGAAATCACAACGGGCAGGAAAACAGAGGTTCTAAACAACTACAGTCAAATAACACTTAGAAATACCGTAATGGGACAAACAATATTAACATGAAGGACTATAGTACGAAACGAAATAATAAAGCATTTGGAGAATAGCGAAGGGAAATATAAAAACAAGCTAAATAAATGAAATACATTAAACATATATCATAGCCTACCTGAGAGAACAGGCATGAAGAGCTTCTGAAGTGTCTGCAGGAGGTAGTTTGTCAGTGCCTAGGTCAGCACTGGCGTAGCTGTCAATGCTGTCAATACTGAGGCTGCTGGTATGGCTGCTGCCGCTTCCTGCCTTCCGTGAGTTGGTCCGACGTAATACAGTGAGGGATCCAGTGCCTGTAGCCCATGGAAAGAAGTACAGATTGTAATCAATAACACTTTGATAACATCTATAGCACTCTTTTTAATCATCCTGAGGGAAAAGTTGAATCTAAAATGGAATGAATTTAAGACCGCTGAAGAAATAACAGAACTGTCTTGTTAACCCAACTAAACGATAGATATAAGACAAAGAAAGATACCGCTATTTTGACACATTCTGAGAATATGTGCGCAGAGAACATATAAAACATGACTAAACTTGGGAACAAATGGATTAAAGAAGCAAAAACGCCCAAAAATTAAAGAAAGCAAAACCGCCCAAAACCCCCCCCCCCCCCCCCCCCCCCAAAAAAAAAAAAAAAACCTTTAAGAGAAAGGTCAAAAGTACTGGGCTGAATGCCATTCGTGAAATTGTGTTGATTGCACAGGGTAGATGGAAACGGAGGAACAGACTGTGAACCCCGTGTGCCATATAATGGCATAAAAGGCAACCAATGAACACACACTTCGGAATGTTCTGGGAATTTTCTGTTTTCTAAAGGTGACACAGAAAACTACTGGTCATCTCGCAGTGTGTGTCTAGGCCGAAAAAAACCCACACTGTAGCGGTTTTAGTCCATGTTGTCTTATCTGCTCGGCTCTGTGGCTATGTCGATGCGAACGCTTCGTAATGCCGGGATGCTGGTTTCGATCCAGCTGCGGTCCATGCGCCTTGCATTGGTTTCGACAGTGGTATCAAGAAAGCCGACCGTCCAGGAGCAATGGCAAACTAGTGGACGTAAATTTGCCTAGAAAAACCACACAACAGCCAGGGGCTGCTGGGGTTGGTTCTGCAACGTCCTGTAAAGGATACGCAACTAACCTGTCTTATCTGACACACATATATTAAGGGAATGGAGCAAACGTGAAATTATTTCACTCTGTCCCTAATTCTGGACTCTTTTTTTTTTCGCCTTCAGGCGTATAGGGAATGTATAGCTAGAATATTGTAAAGAACAGGAGACTTGTTAATCAACATAGAACTGTTACTATTAGCTCTCGGACGTTGGGGTTCTTACAGAGGGGGAGATCTGAGGACCTATGGGCATGTCTGGAGTGCAATGATGATAACACAACAAACTAACTAACTAACTAATTTTAAAGAACAATCGGTATACGGTGAGTGATGTGGTCGGTAGCACACCGTCCGCCTCATCTAAAGTGCTTAAAGATGAACGCACTAGCATCATTGGAGTTGACGGGTAATTCTACACACAGCTGTTTTCACTTGTCTTAGGTGTTGCACACAGTTAGAGACTCCAACGACCTCCACACAGGATCTCCGAAACAGAATCACAGACACAGCGGAAACGAATCCACAGCAGCTATAACATGATACTAACGACTCTACCGTTTCGCCATGGAGACCCTCTACCGACACGCTAAGCCCAAGTAAAGAGTTTAGCTGCTTCTATAATTTATGTTTATTAGTATCTAAAATGTGATGTATGTTTTTGATGGTTGCATGTTTTTTTTTATAAATACGTTTTGTGCTTGATAATGCGTTGTAGCATTCGGCTGGTGTGATGTTTGACAGTTAAGACTGAAACGAACCTGTATTGGACTACATGTTTCTTCGTAACCGTTTTGTGTTGCCCCAAAATAATAAACTGAACTGGGTTTCAGTGATGTGTGCCTCTTTGAATCTAAAAAAAAACTTGACATATGAATACTACAGACTACAGTCTAGGTGGCAAAAGACTGTAGACACTGTGATACGATGAACGGCTGACATATGTTTTGGCATGAAGTTTGACACTGTGATATGATGGCGGACATTTTAGACGGAGTGGCTGGCACATGAGTTTGCTGGATGTTTGACACTGGTATGTTGGCGGATATACTCGAGCGAATGGCTGACATGTGTTTAGGCTTGATGTTTGACACTGGTATGTTGGCGGATAAACTCGAGCGAATGGCTGACATATGTTTTGGCATGATGTTTGACACTGTGATATGATGGCGGACATTTTAGACGGAGTGGCTGGCACATGAGTTTGCTGGATGTTTGACACTGTCGTATGATAGCAGAAACCTCAGAGTGAGTGACTGACCCATGGTACAGAGTAATATGTGACACTCTATTATGACACATAGGAATGGGTCGTACATTTGGTAAAGTATTATGCTGTTTCAAACGGTAATGCAAAGTGTACACTGCGCTTAGTATTCCCTGTTCTCTTTGATCATTTTTTAAAATTATTTCAGTATGGTTCATTTATCGTGTATTTTCCCTAATGATCTGAACTCTCCCGGCGGTATCTCTTCCTTAGAGCTTTTATCGCAGTGAAATACCGAGTATCTGCGTTATGAGGAGGGGCCAACCTTGTACTTATAAGGTCAACGAACAGGCAATCTCTAGTGGGATCTGAACTACCAAATCATGAGGTCAGTTAGCTAAAAAAACTAGCAAGCTCGCTAACGGCTTCTATTAATACTGATATTAAATATATTCTGTTTCAACAGGTTAATGCCTTCCACACCGAAACGGCATTAGACACAGAGAAGCAGTCGATAACGCATAATTTTGTCGTATTTTCTCTGATACCAAGAGATGGTACTAATGTGCAAGGTATCGATTTGTGCTTTGATCGGAGGCAACCGCAATGGCGACTAGTAAAATGATTTTGAGTGCTTTCATAAAAGCCCTACAATCTTTCTGTCATTTACGCATTTACAAATGAACAACAAAGATATATAACTGTTTTTGATTGTCTATGTGTCTGGTGCTGACGGAATTGCTAAACTTATAAATGAAGGTGGTCATGCATTACTCTTAAAAAATATATGAAATAATAAAACGGATCTGGAAGCGGAGAAATTACTATGTAAGTGAAAAGAGACATCAGTATTACCCATTTTAAAGGAAGAGATAAGTGTAGATGTGAAAATTATACAGGAATCTTACTACTGTTTAAAAGCTATAGGATACTATCGACGGTACAGCTAAACAGGCTAAAACCATACGGCGAAGACCTTTTAGAAGGTTACCAAGCAGGTTTCCGACAGAACAGATCAACTACAGATCAGATATTCATTTTACGATAAAAAGCAGAGCAATACTAGGGCTATAGAAGAGAAGAACATAAGGGTTTTGTGGATTTAAAAAAAAAAAAGGCAGATGATAGTGTACATAGAAACTGTTTATGGGATATTATGAAGTACTTTCAAATACCAAAGAAGTTAATCACCATGACCAAACTATGTATGGAAGGCACTTATTATATAGTAGCATATCAAGGCAGAAAAATAGACCGTTTTCAAATAACATTTATTTTAAAGCTAGGTGATGCTTTGTTCCCACTTCTTTTCAACTTAGCCCTGGAGAAATTTATACATATATTAAAATAGGAGTCTACTAAAGGAGAAACGACAATAATACTTGGTTATGTAGATGGCATTGATTCTGTTGGAGAAAATAAACTTAGGAGTGCAATTACACCGACTCTCTTTAAAATAAAAAGCAGTTCAAATCAAAGGATATAACACACCGGTCACATTCAAGTCCACATACGAAGATCAAATAAAGGAAACATAAATATTTCGGTGCAAACCTCAACGGCTCAAATATGCTGAGAGAAGAAATACAATGAAGAACACAATCAATGAATAAAGCCCACTATGCCGTTCAGCGTCTGCTGAAGTCAAAGTCAAATATGTCGCCCAACATCTGCTAAAGTCAAAGTCAAATATGTCGCCCAACATCTGCTAAAGTCAAAGTCAAGTCTCCCAACACCAAGATCAAAATATAACAACTTTGAGGAGATAAGCCGTTTTTTATGGCTCTGAAACTTGGAGCCCAACGAAATGAGATGAAGGCATATTAAACATTTTCGAAAACATAGTCTTATGTCTTATTTTTGGACCCATCAAAGATGCAAACGACGGGGAATGAAGATTCAGAAGCATCAACGAAATTCATAATCTGTTTAAATTAAGATTGATCACTGACATCGTGAGAGCTAATAGACTGAAATGGTTGGGGCATAGTGAGAAAATACCAGATGACAGAGCGGTTAAAAACTATACACACAAGGGAGCTAAATGGTCGCAGACTACGAGGTAGACCAGGAAGACGATAGAGAGATATTGTCCTGAAAGATCTACAAACACTTGATGTCACCAACTGGAAAGAAATGATTAGCCATAAAGATGTATGGAAGCGCATGACATCTGTAGCAATGAACCTCAAGGGCTTGGAATGCTGAAAAAGAATAAGTAATCTGAGCAAGGAGACACACAAAACACACACACACGTATAGACATAAACATACACGAATGCAAGAACTTACAAGTGAGTACACATATATATGTAATAAACTCGCAGAATGCTCATTCGAGAAAGCGCAAGCACAAAATATGTACGAACACACAGTACACACAAACATACATACACACACGCGCGCGCGCGCACACACACACACACAACCCACATATATATATATATATATATATATATATATATATATACATATATATATATATATATATATATATATATATATATAAATATATATATATATATATATATATATATATATATAATATATATATATACTCATACCTCACAAACAAATTACGATGTCATCAATGGAATCCAGTCTAGAACCTTTGGCTTCTCTTGTTAACATTTCTTTTAGGGCCCGTTTTGTAATCTATGTTAGGCCTAATTATCTTTATGAAGGTTAGTTGCATATCCTTTACAGGATGTTGCAGAACTAACCACGACAGCTCCTGGCTGTTGTGTGGTTTTTCTAGGCAAAGTTACGTCCAATAGTTTGTCATTGCTTTCTGGACGGTAGGCTTTCTTGATACCACTGTCAAAACCAGCACAAGGCTGTGATCCAACCCGGCAATCCGGCATTACGAAGAGTTCGCATCGAGTTAGCCACAGAGCCGACAATTATCTTTGTAAACCGAATCAATTTTGTTTTTCCGCCGACTGCCAATAATGCCTGTACTTACCAATGTTTGAG